GGGGTGCTGAAGCACCCCCAAAAATGGGCTAAAATCGCCCCTGCTTTTAATCTTACTATCTGCAGTTTTTACACCCTTACATATAAACACTCAGTTACCATCCCTCCATTTAGAAAGGCAGAGGCATCATGGTGTAATTATTTTACATGTAGTTGTTTTTTTCCTGTGTAATAATATTCAACATTGCTATCAATACATTTTTCAAAAAATGCCTCTGTGCAAAATGGGTTCAAAAACATAAACAACTGTGGGATGCTGTTTGTCCGTGATTTGGACAGGGGGAACAAATTGTGGCAGGATCAGCCTGATATTATTTGTATCCCACTATAACTTTACTGTATAAAGAGCTAACATCACCAAAATAGTAGTAGTTAGTCATTACAAGAAGTGTTTGTGAACTAAAAATCAAGAATGTAGGACACTGTTTGTTGGTGATTTGGACAGCCCAGTCCACCTTGGCACTTGTGCAGGTGTTTACACATTTTTTTATTTTATTTAAAGGATCTTTATTTTCCTTTCAACAGTTCAGTTATAAATGCCTTCTTACAAAGAGTAAACATAAGGTCTTATTTGGCAGCATTAATAATATTGTTACTCCTGCACCACCTACTGTCCAAGTATTTTGAAATGAACATTGTGATATTTTTTTTCTTTTTAGGTAGAAAAAAATATGTGAGATATATGTGTGATATAATAATTTTTCTCCTTTAGCATTTTTGTTGTAATGGTAAATGGTCTAATTCTTATATAGCACTTTTCTACTCTCCCAGAGTACTCAAAGCGCTCTATTCAACATATCCCATTCACACAAGCACTTTCAGTGCTTCCTAGTTAAAATCCATACAAATTTATGCCCAACAATACTTGGCATGCACACTTGAGGAGCCAGGAGTCAAACCACTAACCTTAAAATCAGTAGATGACTCTGCTCTACCTCCTGAGCTGTAGCCACCCCGAGCTATAGCCACCCTCTGTCTGTTCCTGTTTCTGCTCATGCTTGGCCATTTATATTAGAACATATTTTTTTTTACCAGTTTCATTATCTGAGCTAGTTAATTTAGTCAATTCAGTGAAAGCATCCTCTTGCTCTCTGTCTGAAAATGTCTTTCAGTCTATCTGTACCCGTGTGCTCACGATAACGAAAACGCCACTGATCTCTGGTCAATATCCTGCTTATTTTAAGAATGCTGTCATCTAACCACTTGCATAAAGATAAAACTTAAGTTCTTGTTTGTGCTGCTGACAGATTTGTGCCTAAGGTAATGGAAACTGCCACTGCTCCTTGTTTTTCCCTTATGGGATTAATCAACACAGCATGTCAATAAAAGGGAATGGCAAAACAATAAAACCTAACGACTAGGCTCAGAAAGTCAGAAAGCTGTCATGTGGTCATTATTACAAACCAACTTGCTCTTATTCATTTTGCTGTATTCCTGTTTTACTTCTGCTGTAGCCTCTTCTCTGTTTCCCTCCTCCTGTCAGTTACAGAGACAATTTCATCTAAATGGCATGCACAAGAGTGGAGATGTCATTCTGGGTGGACTGTTTCAAGTCCACTTTTTTTCAAGTGTTGCTGACCTGTCTTTTACCTCACAGCCACAGCAGCCTACTTGCCATGGGTAAGTATGTTAGGAGAAAAGAAAAAGAAACTGGGATCAGTGCCATTTATATATATATATATATATATATATATATATATATTCATACCATAAAAAGGGTGTATGTTGAATGAAGCATCTTCTTTGTTATTTTTCTCATTTTAAAAAACCTGTTTAATTGTTACTTTGTAGCAGTATTTTTGTAACACAAGTTCTGTTGTATTCTTAATGCATGTATTCTGCCGTATGTTTCAATAATAATCCTTCTTTTGTTAGATTTTATGAACTAGGATTTAGGCATGCACAAACCATGGCCTTTGCTATTGATGAAATCAACAGAAGCTCCAACCTGCTACCTAATGTCACTCTGGGATATACTCTTTATGATAACTGCATCAACCTTGGAATTGGATTCCGTGCTGCATTGTCATTAGCCAGTGGTCAAGAGGAGCATTTTATATTAGATGATACATGTGTTGGAACTACTCCAGTCTTAGGGATTGTTGGTGATTCTCCCTCTGCACACTCTATTGCTATCTCTAGCACTTTAGGTTTGTACAGAGTACCTATGGTAAGTCACCTGCTTAATCATTAAATTGTTTTCTTGGATTATTTTGATTAAATTTAAAGTTTAATCAAAACCGACTCAGTCAAAATGACAAAATTAAAATAGGAAGTCAAGTCTTTCAATTGTTTTCCAATATACAGTCTGTATATTTCACAGGTGAGTTATTTTTCAACATGTTCCTGCCTGAGTAACCGTCAAAAGTATCCAGCCTTCTTTAGGACGATCCCAAGTGATGCATTCCAGGTGAAAATGTTTTAGTAAAATTTCTATTCAAATTTGGATATTGTGATTTTTCACAGTTACTCTTAATATTGTGTGGCAACAGAAAAGATAATCGTGTGGTGTGGTCCCAAATCCGATGGGCAGCTAATCCACTGAAAGAGGTTTTTTTTTTTATCTTTACACTGATGTTTTAATCTCTATTCACTTAGGTACGTGCTATGATTCAGATTCTAAAGCATTTTGGCTGGACATGGGCAGGTCTGCTCATCACTGATGATGATTATGGACTCCATGCAGCAAGATCCTTACAATCTGAGCTCAGTCTGTCTGGTGAAGGTTGCCTGGCTTACTTCGAGGTTTTGCCCTGGGACAAAGACAAAGATGAACTCAGGAGGATTGTGAATGTGATGAAAAAATCCACAGCTCGAGTTGTCATTGTCTTTGCACATGAGAGTGTCATGATAAACCTTATGGAAGAGGTTTGGATTCAAAATTTGGTTATTGTTGGGTTTGAAGATACTTTATAAAACGTGTGTTTGTGTGAATGGGTAAAGAAAATTTGTCTTCTGTAATTATTTTGCAAAATCAGCAACTAGTTGAATGGCATGATAATGCCCCTAAAGTATATATATATATATATATCACTTTAAACATTTGGTTTATTACAATGCACAGGTAGTGAGGCAAAATGTAACTGGCCTACAGTGGATGGCCAGTGAAGCCTGGACAGCAGCTGCTGTGCTCCAAACACCTCACCTTATGCCATACCTGGGTGGTACACTAGGTATTGCCATTCGTCATGGGGAAATACCAGGGCTCATGGAATTCCTGTTAAAAACACGTCCTACTCTACATTACAACAATAGCTATGGAAATAGCATGGTGAGATTTTAACCATTTTCTAATGCATGTGCAAGAATTAGATGCTATTATAATTCATATTAACAAAATCTAAATATTTCAGGTGAATCAGTTTTGGGAATTCATATTTCAGTGCAGATTTTCACAAGCTTCAGCAGGCTGGGTGGAGCAAGGAGGTCAACTATGCACTGGACAGGAAGATCTAGAGAATGTAGACACTGAGTTCTTGGACATTTCCAGCCTCCGGCCTGAGTACAATGTGTACAAAGCTGTGTATGCTCTTGCACATTCCCTTGATGACATGCTGCGTTGCAAGCCAGGAAGAGGGCCTTTCACTGGAGACAGCTGTGCCACTCTGCAGTCACTGGAGCCTTGGCAGGTGTGAAATCACTTTGCTCTCCATCTATGAATAAATAGTTTCCTTGTAATTACTTTCAGGGTGAAATTCAGTGTTTAATGAATTTAGATCAAAAATGATCATTTACCTGTGTACGTACATAACTTTAGTAGTGACTTACCTGGCAAATTTCTATATTATATGTGTAATATTTTATTTCATTATTGAATACAGAGTGCCACTGTTTGCACTCTTTGCAAGAAATAAGTTAATTCTAATAGATCCCTTTTTTAACAGCTTGTTTATTACTTGGAAAGGGTGAACTTTTCCACTTCATTTGGTGATCAAGTGTCATTTGATGAGAATGGTGATGTGGTGCCAATTTATGATGTGATGAACTGGTTGTGGCTCCCTGATGGAAGCACTGAAGTTCATAATGTGGGTGAGATTAAGAGGTCCGCTTTCAGAGGTGAAGAACTCATACTTGATGAAGACAAAATCTTCTGGAACTTTGAATCCAAAAAGGTTATATAAGTTTTTTCAGACTTTTTGTCACGTGTACAGTAAATATTATTAAGGCAGTCAATATTTAATTTTTTATGTCCAATAGCCACCTCGATCAGTATGCAGTGAGAGCTGTCCTCCTGGTACCCACATGGTGAGAAGGAAGGGAGAGCCCAAATGCTGTTTTGACTGCATCCCTTGTTCTGAGGGAAAAACCACTAACAAGAGCAGTAAGTTTTTATCTTTCACCACTGCATCTTTAATTTGATTCATATTAAACATAGTATGTTTGAGGGAACAGTCACCAATAAAAGCAGTAGGTGTTTATCTTTCAAAATGGAAAATTTAATTTCTTTGAAATATAATATCCATTTTACTATCTTGCCCTTTTTTAGACTCATTTGAATGCACCAGTTGTCCAGATGATTTTTGGTCAAACCCCGAACGTGACCACTGCGTTCCCAAGAAGACAGAATTCCTCTCCTACCATGACCCTTTGGGTATTTGTTTGGCAGCAACTTCACTGCTGGGCACATTTATATGTGCTGTTGTTCTAGGGATCTTTTTCTACCATCGCAGAACACCTATAATACGTGCCAACAATTCAGAACTTAGTTTCCAGCTATTGCTGTCACTCAAGTTATGTTTCCTTTGTTCACTGCTGTTCATTGGACGACCCAGGATGTGGACGTGTCAACTCAGGCAAGCAGCATTTGGGATCAGCTTTGTGCTGTGTGTCTCATGCATCTTAGTAAAAACCATGGTAGTTCTGGCTGTGTTCAAAGCCTCCAAGCCAGGAGGGGGAACCAGTCTGAAGTGGTTTGGTGTTACGCAGCAGAGAGGAACAGTTCTAGTTCTTACATCTATTCAGGCAGCCATCTGTACTACCTGGCTTGTCTCTTCCTCTCCATTTCCACATAAAAACAGCCAGTATCACAATGATAAGATCATTTTTGAGTGTGCAGTTGGGTCAACTGTTGGTTTTGCAGTGTTATTGGGCTATATTGGTGTGCTAGCTTTCCTCAGTTTTCTAATTGCATTCCTGGTGAGGAATCTCCCTGATAGTTTTAATGAGGCCAAGCTCATCACATTCAGCATGCTGATCTTCTGTGCTGTGTGGGTGGCCTTTGTTCCTGTTTATATCAGCTCTACTGGAAATCGTGCAGATGCAGTGGAGGTATTTGCCATCCTGGCCTCAAGTTTTGGACTCTTATTTACACTGTTTGGGCCCAAGTGTTACTTAATCCTGATGAGACCAGAGATGAACACTAAAAAAGCAATAATGGGTCGTGGAAAATAATCATAATATTTTTCCATATATAGCAGAAAAGTACATGCAGAAAACTAAATAAAAAATATATAATATATGTAACCAAATATACTGATCCTTAAAAAAACTGTCAGGAGAACATATTAAAACCTTCTTCTTCATGTCCCGTTAAATATTTTAAAAAGGCACTTATATTTTCAAATGCTAATATAGATTATGTGACTTATAATTGTTAAATTTCCCTTATACATACATAATTCATAAATAAAATATTTTGTGTAAATAAACAAACCTTTAACTATAGATTCTTCCACGACTCATGGTATATTTGTGTATAATTAGCATATCTGGAGCTATGGGATTATCATTTATCAGGAACTGATGACTACTAATAAAAATATTGGTCAGTTTTTTATAATGATTGGACATTACATCACTAAGGATATGAGTTTCAAAGTATCAAAACGATAAAAACATGTGTAACTAAAAAAGCAAGAATCCACATTTTTAATATATATTTATTCTATGCAAGACTATGGCGTTATTTTTTGCCACTATTCTGAGCTCACGTAAAAAAAACTTTGAGCGCACGTAAAAAAAGTTTGCAGGTGCAAGTATTATTTTTTGAGGAGAAATTTATTTTGAGCGAAGAAAAGCTGAATTTGAGTGAACAAAATTCATTGCTGCGTGCAAAAAATGTATTTCCGTGTTTGCAATAGCAGCCCCACTCGCTCAGTTTTTGCATTTGCGCTCGCTCGCAATGTGTTGCTCGCGCTCTCAACATTTCTGCCCGTGCGCGCTCAACTCTTTCTGTACACCATTATATTTGTGCCACAAAACCAGCCAATCACAGACTTGGATGCAAAAAAATCTGATTGGCTGTT